AATGGAACTGGATTCGCCTACGACTTCCCCCCTTCCGAGTGGGCTGGAGATAGCAGCCTGCAACCTGGGGCCGGTGCAACCCCAACTGACAGCGGGGCGGTTACAACCCCAACTGCCGGCCCCGTCGTTGCTACTCCCTTGTTTGAGTTATTCTTCTTCTATCGCGCATGGGAGGCGAATGGAGATCGAGTCATGCTGGCGCAGTTCTGGAACGACGAACCAAATCCGTTCCTCATTATTCACCAGGTTGGTCTGCCGCGGTGTGTGTGTGTGTGTGTGTGTGTGTGTGTGTGTGTGTGTGTCCGTACATGCGTGTGCGCGTACATGTACGGTCGCTCCGTAGATTCATACGTGTAGGATGGATGGTGCATGTCATCATAGTCATTCTAATTATTATGTAGGTCGAAATTTTTAGGGGGGGGGGGGGGGGGAGGGGAGTGTACGTACCCCCCCCCCCCCCCCCCCGAGGCTATGTGGGCCATGCACCTCTGCACACGCCTAACGTTGTTCCAGCACACACCGATGACATTCCGTTCTGTGTCCGTGTGTCGTGTGTGTGTGTGTGTGTGTGTGTGTGTGTGTGCTGTTTTGTGATTAACCCATCCGCAGGCCAATAGCAGCATTGAAGTCGCCTGGAAACTCACACGGTTTGTTCCCGACTGGTCGCACGATGTTCTCAACGTGCCGGGCCTGGGCATGGACTTTGACTACGTCAAGATAAGTTTGAGAATCGCCAAGGCAACGAACGCCTACGTCTATAACCTTGCCGTGACCCCGGAAGGCAAGAAACCGGTTGCAACTTCTTTCAGCGAATTCATCGCCGTAAACGTGAGTGGACTCCACGCCATGTTTGCCATGACGACGGATGACGACGGCTGGGACGTTACTGCATAATATGTAATTGTAGGTGTAGTGAAGTTTCGGCGTCGGCGACCTGCCAGGTTTCAGGTGTAATGTAGAACTAGGTGACCAGCGTTCCCTGCTCATACCATGCATATTCCAGTGCCCTTAATTTTAGGTGTAATCTAAATTCAGGTGCCTGGTTTCTCTACCGCATTACCAAAATTTAAGGTGCATGTGCACCGGAAATAACCTCTTATACGGTACCCTTGGCTGCTGGTTGCCATGGTAAACCTCATAAAGCCTTGGCTGCTGGTTGCCATGGTAAACCTCATAAAGCCTTGGCTGCTGGTTGCCATGGTAAACCTCATAAAGCCGCGAATGCACGCGTAACATTGGCGTAGTTAGTTATTGGAGTCCTTTCGTCCGATATGCAATGTTGTCCCGCTGGCTGCTACGTCTGTACTGGAGTTTGACTATTAAAAAGTGAAACCTGTCTAAGACGACCGCTCAAGGGACGCTCAAAGCGTCGTCTCTGCTGCCAGGTGGTCTCCGTATCCAGGGTCATTAGGCTGGAAATAGCATCCCTTGGTCCTGGTTGCAGTGGGTCTTCTGGGTCAGGTGGTCGCCTTATCCGAGTGGTCGCCTTGACAGGTTCTAATGTACGTTGTTGGTGACCTGATCAGAGTAGGACAGATTTTTTACTGTGCATGTGCATTGTTCAATGCCCGTGTGCAGGTGAGCCGAGTGGAGTTTGCACAGTTCACGGTGAATGATGTTAACCGGCAAGAGACACTGGCCTCCACGTCGCTAAGAGGTCACATCCGCTCCGTAGCCGCCGTGATCAAGGAGCGCATTGACGTTCTCGGACGCGTCCTGAATAACGACAACGGTAGGCCGCATTGGATGAGGGGTCGTCCATAAATATCGAACTTTTTTCACAAAACGAAATAGTTTCGTTATGGAATGGGACGGGGTTGAGCAATTTCGTTTCAGAAAACATTAATGCATGTACATGGCCGTAGGAGCAGTGACACATTTGCAACTTTTGTTGCATTATGGATGTATGTCAAATTGTCAATATGTTTTACGTTCTGAGGAGGAGGGAGGGAGGGGTTGGGTCTAAACAAAAATAATTCTTTAAGTGAAAAAAGGTTGGATATTTACGGACGACCCCTATTCTCCAAAGGTTTATGTGCTTCAGAATAGGCACAGTGCCCGCTTGCTTTCCTCTTAATGTGGAGAAAACATATATCGGAGCCGTGATCAGCAAAAACAGACCTATACATGTAGGCCCAAATTTTCAAAATTGTTTTTTACTGGAAATTGTCTGATTGCCGATGGCTGAACTCCTTCAACATGCAGAAACAACAAACAACGCTGGCTGAACTCTGCACGCCGGAACATTCCGGTGTGCAATCTGTTCCAATGCCGCTATGCCGGCTTAAGCCATGCACTGCTCGGGAGCATCGAGCGGTATTCTGCATTGGTGCGATCATGAAACGTCGGGTGGGGCTGTCCCCCATGAAATATTTAGGAAACTTGGGCCCAAATAGCCCATATCGTATTGCTCCAGAAATCACAGGATGAAATTATTGGTGCGGCTTTGGCCGCGCCTGCCGCACCGGTTCTGACGCCACGGCTGCTTGGATTAGCCAACATAGGCAGCACACACTCTACTACGTTGTTGTTTGACGGCAAACGCTCTCAGCCGTGCTGTTGCTCAATGTCGTGTTTCGGTCTGCTAGGAACATCTTCGACGGCGTATCCTCACGAGATGCCCTTCAGTAACTACACCACGCTGCTCAGCACGGAGCAAGTGCACAAGGTCTTCCAGCGAGCGCTCGACATCGAGGAGATCGCGTTCCGCTTCCGCACGCGCCAGCTGGAGGACAGTCTGCTGCTGAACGCGGACAAGGTGATCGTGATGTTGCGCAAGCGTGATATCCACGTGGTGATGCGACCGCATATTGACGAGCCGCAGGGCGAGGTGATCCTGCCCGTCAAGACACGCAGCCGGATGACCGATGGCGAGTGGCATCAGTTCAGAGTAAGTCGTCTCCTCCTCGAAGAGATGAAGTTTAATTCCCGTAGCTATGCAGAAGACTTTACTTCAGTAACGTCTGGCGCTAGCCAGGGTCCACACAGCTTTAATTTGGTGTTTGTTTGTTTGTTTGTGTGTTTGTGTCACGCCTGGCATTATCCCGTATCTGTCCCGTACCGTACCGTACCATCAAACACAGCTGGCCACATACAGCTGGCCGCACTATTCAAATAGGGCTTTCAAACGCAAGATCATAACGTGAAGCAACTTGGAAGAATGGGTATGAATGCGAAGTGTATGGGGGCGATAGTGCGGGTTCGAATCCCAGGATATGCCTGAAAAAATAGGAGAATTGAAAAATTTATAACATCCCTATGCTTTTTTTGCCGTCATCAAGGCGGTGGACGGTGTCGTATTACCCTCGATCGTACCTGTCCCGTACCTATCCCGTACCGTACCGTACCATCAAAGACGGCTGGCCACAATGCATATTCAAATAGGGCTTTCAAATGCAAGATCATAACGTGAAGCAACTTGGAAGATTAGTATGTATGTGAAGTGTATCGGGGGATGCATGCAGGGCGCGCGATAGTGCGGGTTCGAATCCCAGGTTATGTCTTAAAAAAAGGAATTTTTTAAAGAATTTATAACATCCCTATGCTTTTTTGTCTAGGTCATCAAGGCAAAAAAGCATAGCGTAGGGCCCTGAGCTTCCAAGCTCTCTCGTTTGCACTGTCCAAGCCCTCAACCCTCCCTCCTCTGCCTTCTCTGTCACCGCCCCTCAATGTCTACTACTTTTCTTTTGTTGATTTGGCCGTGGTTGGCTATCACCCCTTTCTCCTTAAATATTGGCATTGCTTGCCACGAGGTTATGATGCAATAATAATAATAATAACTCGTATCCACATGTCCTTTTCCTTTCTACAATAATAATAATAATTATTATTATTTAAATAACCGACGAGGAGACAACAGTCGTAAAATAGCAATGAAAAATATCAATTGTGCACTCATAACCATGTATAAACAATTAAAATGAAACAATTCCGGAACGTTTCGTGTGACCATCATCGACCATCATCGCTTCTTTTCATATTACTCTAGCTATATAACTGGTTGTTTTAGTGATTCTTACTATGTGACGATGTTCCACTGATGATGGTCACACGAAAACGTTCTGGAATTGTTTCATTTTAATTGTTTATACATGGTTATGAGTGCACAATTGATATTTTTCATTGCTAATAATAATAATTATTATTATTGTGAAAAGAAGAAGGACAAAATGTTACGAGTTATGACTAACTGTCCACCAACGTAACCAGATCTTATACAGTCAGCGAGTGCGACAAAATGGCACGAAATTGACAAGGAGTACTGAGACATTCGGCGACCTGACACCTAGCTCCAACACTTCTCCATTTTGTCCTTCTTCTTTTCACAATAATTATTTAAAGGGGAACTACACCCAAAAATCAAAACTTCATGGTCCGTAGAGTTTTGGACGCTGAGTCGAATGGTGAAGGTCCCACTTCGATCCGACCAAGCGTTCTTGAGATATATCAGTTTGCAATTGTCCTTTTCGGGTCCGTGCCGTGACGTCACAAACCCGTGACGTCATTGAGACTTGGTGATCCTTTGGCCAGATCCAGAAACACTGGGATTTCGCATCTTCTTTCTGTTTGTCCATGGAAGAAGAGGGTATTTGTGTCATCATGGCTTCTGGCTGTGTTGTTGGCTACTATAATCTTACTGGTAACCCCCCTGTGATGAACCTGCACCAATTTCTGAAGGATTGTGCTTGGCACAGGCCGAGCAGTGCACCATAGCAGCTATCAAGCGACATAATTATTTGCTTGACAATTTAGGGACTACAATGTAAATCCTTCGCGTGTGTTCCAGCCATTTGGCAGAGGAGGATTTTCAGGAGGAATATTATGGCACTCATCCGATGCGGACGCTGGTGGATGAAACTGTGGTGCGTCCTTTTTCGTACGCCACACTGTGAAGTGTCAGTCGAAAAGCGGAGGTGAGTGCAATATTTCAAAAACACTAGCTACTGTATGTAGTTCTTTCTTTTCCAAAGCATTTGTAGAATTGTTTTGGACTACATCACTACGAAATGTGAAGCTTTCCGAAACCGGCCTGATGAGGTGGACGGCAGTAGATCTCCTGTTTCCCTAGGCTATGCTGCGTGCGATCGATGAACCTGTCTGCGATTGCTGTTCTTGATTTTACAGGAAGAAGATCAAGAGCGGCTGTACCATCGGTCGCAGTGACTCACTGTTGAGCTACGACCACTGCCACCGCCCCAAGGTTATCATGGTTATAGGAAGGACTGTTTGCAGCGCCAGCGCCTCTAGCTGGCATGTTTTTTTCCTGTATAAACACACAGTATGTACTGCTGATAAGCTACATCACGCAATGACCCGCAGTTCAAGGAGAGAAGATAGTCCACATACCGGCAACGGTGTACACCTATTCGGGAACTCGTTGGGTTTTCTCAGTATGGATGCAGATGAGAGCCAGACATTATTATTATTGTGTGTATGCGTGCAAGCGCGTGAGTGTGTGTGTGCGCGCGCACGCGCGTGAGTGTGAGCGTGAGTGTGTGCGTGTGCGCGCCCGTGAGTGTGTTTGCGCGCACGCGCGTGAGAGACATACATTATTATTATTGTGTGTGTGGGTGCACGCGCGTGTGTGTGCGCGCGCACGCGCGTGACACTGAGTGTGTGTGCGCGCGCATGCGCGTGAGTGTGTGTGTGTGTGCGCGCACTTGCGTGAGTGTGTGTGCGCGCACATGCGTGTGCTTTTGTGTAATGTAATATAACATTCCAAATATATTCACGTCATCTATTCTGTGTTCTCCTTTATGTCATTCTCTCCCCATTTGCGGGAGGGACATGGAATGACAAGTAGTAGATGCATTGCCGTTAGTGATCCTGAGGGATGTGTGGGTATGCAACCAAGTGCATGAGTGCGCGCATGTGTGCGTGCACGAGCATGTGCACAGGCACTTGTATGCTTATGCACTCGTGTGCGCACGCGCTTGTGAAATTGCGTGTCTGCGTGCGTGAGCATGTGTGACTACTATACTATGTGCCCACCAAGGTGAGCACATGTGCGTGCGCGTGTGTGGGGCGCAGGCGGATATGTGCACACATTTTAGAATGATAATCAAGGACAGAGCTGTTCCGGTAATGCAGTCATGAGACACCACAGTAGGGCAAAACGCACTCAATATGCTACTGTGCTGCTGCTGCTGCTGCTGCTAGAGTGCACAGCGTAATTGTTGGTACACAGATACGTGAAATACAAGAGAACGTCTCAGCATTCTGTAAAGACTAAGTGATAATGCAAAAGGTGAGAATGTATTTCGCCACAATACGAATTGAGTGCAGTCCACTTGTGTGAGATAAAGCACAAGTGAACCGATACACATTGCACGACTTGCACGGAGATAATGCTAGCCATGTTACGCAGCAAACTCCATGTACAGGAGTACGAGTGAGGAGACTATTGATCTGAGTACTGTGCGAATACAAAATTTCACACAATTTACGATATGAAGAGAACGATTCGATTTGTGAGCATTACGTAGGACTATACTGTGAAAACACTTACGGATTGTCAGGGTTGTCTGAGCTGCTTTGGCTGCCGCTTCATTTCGAAATAGCCCAGCCAACCAGTTGCCAGATGTTGCTGATGGAGAGCGACTTCTCCAATTGCAGTAATTTCTGCTTCATCCACATTTACAGCACGATTGGAAGCCACCGCTTGCGCTGCCATATCCTTTCCTGAAAATTTCGGCTCATGCCCGAAGCCAAACATTTTCAGCTCAGGCTCTGAGCTTTCAAGCTCGTCTGATACGTCGGAATCGCTCATGGTGAGGACGTCTTTGTCAGAACTATTCCTTTCACATACGAAAATACCTGTACTTCTGAGCTTGGCCCAGGCAAGCAAGTCTCAATGACGTAGAAGGGTGTGTTGGGGGTGTGTCGCGGCCGCATGACGTCATGGCGCGTCCCCCGAAAGTACAATTTAAACCGAAGATATCTCAGGAACGCTTGGTCGGATCGAAGTGGGACCTTCACCATTCGACTCAGCGTCCAAAACTCTACGGACCATGAAGTTTTGATTTTTGGGTGTAGTTCCCCTTTAATTGGCTCACCATCCGAATAATAATAATAATAATAAAGGGTTTGCTCCCCACACCGGAGCTCGCGCTATTCCGCCGACTTTACTTGACACTTGACTGACTCACGGTGTGGGGAGCAAACCCTTTCTTACAAATCATCGCCGAAGTCGCAACCACTACTTAATAATAATAATAATAATAATTTTTAGGAAATTAGAGGCCACGTGCCATGTACTGCTCTTTTCTCTCCGAAACTCAACACTTGCAAGCCAGATATGAAAGAAAGAAAAAATCATCAGTCACACCACCGGGACTCGAACCAGGGACCTTGCTATTCGCGAGCAATGCTCTAACCAACTGAGCTACAGTATGACTCTTATCCACAGTGATGGTAAATCTATCCTCCTTCGATCAATCCACATCTGGCTAGCATCATACTGGCAACTCACACCAATCAAGAGGGCCCTCGGCCATTCGCTTGATAACATGGGGAGCATCAAACTATGTCCACTGCGAGCAAATACAAATTGCAATTTCAAATTTGGACTTCAAGGAGAATTTCATAGTTTTTAGGAAATTAGAGGCCACATGCCACGTACTGCTCTTTTCTCTCCGAAACTCAACACTTGCAAGCCAGATATGAAAGAAAGAAAAAATCATCAGTCACACCACGGGGCTCGAACCAGGGACCTTGCTATTCGCGAGCAATCACTGTGGATAAGAGTCATACTGTAGCTCAGTTGGTTAGAGCATTGCTCGCAAATAGCAAGGTCCCTGGTTCGAGTCCCGGTGGTGTGACTGATGATTTTTTCTTTCTTTCATATCTGGCTTGCAAGTGTTGAGTTTCGGAGAGAAAAGAGCAGTACGTGGCATGTGGCCTCTAATTTCCTAAAAACTATGAAATTCTCCTTGAAGTCCAAATTTGAAATTGCAATAATAATAATAATAATAATTTCAAATTTGGACTTCACGGAGAATTTTCAAAGTGTTAGGAAATTTGAGGCCACATGCCACGTACTGCTCTTTTCTCTCCGAAACTCAACACTTGCAAGCCAGATATGAAAGAAAGAAAAAAATCATCAGTCACACCACCGGGACTCGAACCAGGGACCTTGCTATTCGCGATATTGATTGATCGAAGAAGGATAGATTTACCATCACTGTGGATAAGAGTCATACTGTAGCTCAGTTGGTTAGAGCATTGCTCGCGAATAGCAAGGTCCCTGGTTCGAGTCCCGGTGGTGTGACTGATGATTTTTTCTTTCTTTCATATCTGGCTTGCAAGTGTTGAGTGTCGGAGAGAAAAGAGCAGTACGTGGCATGTGGCCTCAAATTTCCTAATAATAATAATAATAATAATGGGAACTCCCCTCCACCATCCCTGCCCATTTCATTGTCCAATGGGAACTACCCCTCCCCCATCCCCCTCCACCATTCCTACCCTTTTCATTGCATTTGTCGACCCCCCCCCCCCCCCCCCCAATTATGGCCCCTTTTCATCCTATTGTTAATGGGAACTGCTCCCCCCCATTTCAGCCCCCCTTCAATATCCACCCTGTTGTCTGGTACACTATAGCGTGTGTGTGGGTGTGTATGTGCGTGTGCATTTGTATGTTTGTGTGTGTATGTTTGTGTGAATGTGTGATATGTTGCCCTCTGCAGATCCAAGTCGGTCAGGGTCACGGAGAGCCACATTATGTGGTCACCGTGACGATAGATGATTGGGTTGCCACGACGGAGGTGAGGTCCAATATCATTTTATGTTCTGCAAGAATCTTCTGTGCTCCTGTCATTTGATCTCAGGAAATGAGGTCTATTGTGAGAGGTTATTATATTATGTGTTATGTGTTGTGTGTGTGTGTGTGTGTGTGTGTGTGTGTGTGTGTGTGTGTGTATGTATGTGTGTGCGTGGGCAGATGACGGAGGACGCTTTGGAAAATGGGGAGGTCAACATGTGTTCGGTGCATTGTGGCTCTCATTTGTGTTTTCTGAGTTTTGACACTCTAATTTGCATCGGCGTTTTGCTCGTGCGTGCTTGTACGCATCTCTGCGTGCATGCGTGTGTGTATGTGTGTGTTTTCCATGTGTGTGTGTATGTGTGTTAGGTTCCGTTCAACAGCATTTCCAACGTACGTACCTTCGAAGTGCATCTGGGTGGCACCAACGCTGATAACCTGAAGCACTTGCCAGTGAGTTCTGGCTTCAAGGGGTGCGTGGAGGACTTCTGGATCAATCGCGATTACAAGGTGAGTTTGTGAGGTGGTGTTTGCAGACAAGTACTTCATCCGGTTCTTTCAAATTGTCCTCCTCCTGATCATATCTGTGTGCCCGGCCCATCACTATGGCGATGATTCAAACCCGAGGCAACCTTCAACCACATGGGAAACAATACCAGTTTGCCAGTCTACCAGTCCATGCTGAAAATCAGTCTAACTGAGTCTCAAGCGAACCGTGAATTTTTTGTCAACACCCATTGTTGTTGCTGGTGTTCTGTGTGTGTGTGTGTGTGTGTGTGTGTGTGTGTGTGTGTGTGTGTGTGTGTGTGCGTGTGTGCGTGCGTGTGCGTGCGTGTGTCTTGATCAGGATCTGTACGCACTTGAAACTCTCGGCTCGACGTCGAGCAATGACGTCAAGGACTACTGCCCAAGCTGCAAGCCCATCAGTCCGTGTCGTCGTGGACAGTGCGTGGAGCATGTCGACAACCTGACGTACTCCTGTGACTGCTCCGGCACAGGCTACACTGGTCCCCTCTGTCTGCAAGGTTTGTTTGTTTGTTTGTTTGTTTGTTGTTTGTTGTACTCCTGTGACTGATCTGGCACTGGTTACATCGGTTTCCTGCGTCTGGAAGGTACCTGTAAAAGCCGTATACACAGTAAAACATGGTGTAAGCGACCTGTGGGTTTAGCGACCACCTGATCTTAGCGACCGTTTTTCCATGCACCGACAGTTCTACACAGACACTGTGGGACCTGATTCTAAAGACCACCTGGCTTTGTGTGCGTGTGTGTGTGTGTGTGTGTGCGCGCGTGCTCGCGTGCGTGCGAATTCATGCATGTGTGTGAATGCATGTGTGTGTCTGCATGTATGCATGCATGCGCGTGCGTGCATACACGTGTGTATTCATGTACAGAGGAGTCCACGGCCACGCTCTTCAACAACGCCACCTCGTACATAGCCAAGAGTCAGCTGACCGGCGAGCAGGCCAGCTCCAAGCAGCTGCGCTTCTACTTCCGCGTGTGGGAGGCCAAGGAGGAGGTGCGTGTGTTCACGCAGAGCGGCGGCGCTAATGGCGGCAGCCCGCTTCTCGTGCTGTCCGTGGACGACACAGACATTGTGGTGCGTGCACTATCACTAGGTGCCGTCGCAACACACCGCGTCGCGTTTCCGGACGTGAAGCGAGTGTTCGAGTACATCCACGTGCTGATGACATACACGCCCTCATCGCTGCCTCAGAGCACCGGTGAACAGCAGACCTCGCCGTCCGGCGGTACCGTCAACATCACCATCGGTTACGGCGCCGCGCGCAAGTCGGTCGTCGTGACGATGGACAGCTTCGCGACGGACGCGGTCACGTTTGGAACGCGCACCGAGTACGCCGCCGATCCTCCCAGCAAGGGCTTCCAGGGTCATCTGCGAGGGGTGCGCTACAACGGGCGCAACGTCTTCCCGCAGCACATCCGCGGCAATGCCCAGGTTTGTTGTGTTTCTGTTTGTTTAGCTTCATTTCACTTCACCATAGGCACAGGATAAATATGCCTTCTCACTGGGCGTATTGCCACAGTTCTCGAAAGATGATGAATATACAGGTGTGGTATGGTATCCTTTAATTTTACTTCACCAAGCGAACTGGCAGTGATGCACTCTCACCCGCCAACGACTGGCTCTCACAGAATGATGAAAAAATTAGGATTAATGATTATGACGATAGCTTTTAAACACTAGGTATGAGGTACATGACTATAGAGAAGAACAATGGGGTTTATGCATAATACCAAGAGTACATAACCCCCCAGAGTGTGCAACGCCTGATCCAGCTCTGCATAGGGTCTTGGTCGAGCGGAATCGGATCTTTGCGTCATAATACCGTACACATCTGAGGGGAACCCGGGGAGTCGCGGGTGCTCTTGGATCAAAAACAATGGTACCCTGCCTCGAGACCGGCCTTGCGCTGGTCATCAGAAGATCCGATTCCGCTCGACCAAGACCCTATGCAGAGCTGGATCGGCGTTGCACACTCTGGGGGTTATGTACTCTTGATAATACTCCCGCCATTTGATCTTGAGGGGCAAGTCCACTAAAACTGTACACGCTCTGATACAAACCAGTCCTCATCAAAGGTCATAAAGTGTGTACGGTCATACCCACCAATGTACTACAGCTTGGCTTTACCTGCCAAATATGGGACAAGTTGCCCCTCAGGAAGGTGGCGGCCATGTTTTATGCATTAGCCCTTTTGAAAAATTAATTTTCATACGCAAACATGTACATGACTAAAAGTGGGTGGGTTACGTGACTTAAGAAGTGGTTGTGTGCATCTAATTGCTCCAGGTGTCGCTGGTCAACGGCGAGCTACAGGAGCTGGCATTTGACAACTACGCCGTCAGCTTCAAGTCGCCCGGCGTGCACAAGGAAATGGGCTTCGGCATTCCCGTCGCCGACTACACGTTCAAGGTACGCAAGGCGTCCGGTAACGCCGTCCTGGTCGACATCAACGGCGGCGACTTTGGATCCGTCACGCTGGTTCATCAGGATGGTAACTATGTGCTGATAATACGCGAGTACGCGTCCTCGTCGATCAACCAGACTATCTCTGTTGTGCCCACGGTTGCCGTGCCAACCGTTTCCGCGGTGATCAATCGCGAGGTGCGGCGCAGACGCCAGGCGCTGGCGGCGGCTGCCGACAGTGGTGATGGTGGAGTGCTGCGTAATCCGTGGACGCGCGTGCGTGTGTCTATCAACGGGACGCTAGCGCTGGCCGGGTTGTACATTGACGATCGCCTGGTGGCCAGCTTGCAACTACCCACCGGAATAGACCTGACGGTGAGGCAGTCTCGATTTATTTTAATTTTCAAATTTATTTCTACCCAATGCTGTAGGCAGCAAGCTGTTTCGGCCCTGTAGGCCTCATCAGTACACCCATGAGTTCGTAAACGTTCCAACAACAAAAAAGTGACGTGTTCAGCAAAGGGACCGTATTCTGAACGTTTGAGCTGAGGTACATGTACCCTGCGGTGCACATGCCTACGGAAAGATGAGGAGAAACAAACGGAGACAAAACGAAGACAAAAACACAAAAGTACAACAACGTGTGCGTAGGGTCGAATCCTTAGCTTTGTCAAAAATCGCCCCTGATTTTCTCGGTAGTTTCTAAAATAATAATAATTCCAGGGAGGGTGAAGCTTGGCCAAAAAAAGTTAACTGCTTAATAACGACTGTGTTGATTCCTCTGGATTTTTTAGAACTTATTATTATTCCCATACCCAAGCAAGCCATTCTGCGTGTTTTGATTACTGCTGCTGCTGCTGCTGGTGTTGCTGCTAATGTTGCTACTGCTGCTGCTGCTGGTGTTGCTGGTGTTACTGCTGCTGCTGCTGCTGCTGGTGTTGCTGCTGCTGCTGCTGGTGGTGCTGGTGTTGATGGTGCTGCTGCTGCTGTTGGTGGTGTTGGCTCTTTGCTCATATTTGCAGGAACTGCTGACAATGACCGTCGGTGGTGCTAGTCCGGAGCGACTGCGTGAGATCGACCTGGTCGACGTGGGCATGCAGGGCTGTGTCGAGGAGGTAAGAGTACCACCAACACCACCACCAACATCATCATCGTTATCCAGAGCGGGGAACGTACAAAGAATGCAGAGTGAAGTATTACTTGCAACTAGAGTTTCACACTGTGCCAATTGTCAGGCAAAATAGTTTTATGGTTGTGCATTCCTGATCCCAGCGTACACGCGCGCGCTTTACTCATACACACCTACATTCCATATTTGGCAATGCGCAATATGTGAGCAGCTCGCCCACAGTCCCATCCATGGAATACTCATATTACAACTCCCATCCGAGTCTGTTGTGTCTCTGCACACTTCAGCTGTGGGTGAATGCTCGCCCACGGGCCCGTTCATGGAGTACTCATTTTACACCTCACTTTTGCGTCTCTTCCTCATTGCTGTTGTTTGTTTTCTCTGCACACCGCACTACAGCTGTGGGTGAACAACGACTACGTGGACCTGCCCGGCGCAACCACCCGCGGTGCAAGCCTCACTTCCCCGGGCGCTGCAGGGCCGGACGGTGGCAACGACACGTGCACGGCGTGTCAGCCGGAGTCGCTCTGTCAGAACGGCGGCGTCTGTCTGGCCAAGCTGTCCTCCACCGCCGCCGGTGGCGCCGGCGATGAGTTTGAGTGTCTGTGTAACTTGACCGGCTTCGGCGGGCCACTCTGCGAGATTGGTGAGCAGTGGCGCTGGTGTGTTGTTGTTCCATGCCCTGCTGTGCATACGTAGAGATACTGAATTAACCCCTGCTCCTGTAGAACTGTTATTTTTAGCGCCGATGATATTTTAGCGATTTAAAGGGGAAGTTAAGGCAAAAATTAAAATTTCACCAGTTGTAGTCTTCGGGGTGCTGAGTCGAATGGTCTTGGTCCGAGGAAGCTGAGGCGCTCCCTTCCTACTTGAATCCCAATCGAACTCGCGCACTTCCACCGAAACTGGGTGACTGCGCCCTACTAGATGGGGATTTGTATGCAAAATGTCACTAAAAGCGCCATTTCGTTCTTATAAAAGCACGGATGACCGCGATCGGCCCATATGTTGTAGTCTTTTGGACGCTGAGTCGATTGGTTTTGGTCCGAAAAGGCTGCGATGCAGCGTTCCTCCTTTATTCCCAATCGAACATGGTTGAACAAGTGGTCACGTGCTCCTGGGTGCCCAAATCACCTGGTCACCACGCCAGCAGGTGACAACTTTCACACCAAGGTTCAACTCGAGTGACAGGACTGCACCCGAAAAAGGTCAAACAGGCTAGTAAGTTGTACCCTGCAGGCACGGTGACCAGGTGACTGGCGTACGCAGGAGCACGTGACCGCTTGTTCAAGCATGTTCGATTGGGAATAAAGGCGGAACGCTGCATCGCAGCCTTTTCGGACCAAAACCAGTCGACTCAGCGTCCAAAAGACTACAACATATGGGCCAATCGCGGTCATCCGTGCTTTTATAAGAACGAAATGGCGCTTTTAGTGACATTTTGCATACAAATCCCCATCTCGTAGGGCGCAGTCACCCAGTTTCGGTGGAAGTGCGCGAGTTCGATTGGGATTCAAGTAGGAAGGGAGCGTCTCAGCTTCCTCGGACCACGACCATTCGACTCAGCACCCCGAAGACCTACAACTGGTGAAATTTTAATTTTTGCCTTAACTTCCCCTTTAAGCGAAATGAGCGGTTTCGCTAAAGTTTGCGGGAGGGGGGGGGGGGCTGTCCTTCAAGTCAATGCAGGTGGCATCGTGTTAAACTGGTTGCTGTGCACAAGGTTTGCTGTCCATATACTGTTCAGTGGCGATCGCTGCAGTCCGATCATGCGAGTCAATGCCACGCGGGGGCACTGTTCAGCACCAGACCTCTGTGCGCCGCCCCGGGCCTGTGCACTGGTGCAGGGCGCACACTGGTCTCGTCTGCTCGCATCTTATTGAGCGAGCAGCAGTGTCTTCCAGCTGGCGGTCGACAGGCCCACTCTCTTGCTCTGTTCCTACACATGGTTAAACCTCACCTAGGGTTCCCTATAAAAAAGGCAGTAGCCTGTTGGGGGACTCCCCTAGTCAAATGAAGAAAACCTACTATTAACTACTATGGTATAGGTTGGGAGCAGCATAACCGACGGATGCTTGGGGTCAAATCATTGCTGCCCGTTTCATAAACTATCTATCCTTGTCTCTTTTTTGATTGTTTTCCACAGCACCAACATCGCCGCCAACAACTACCCCCACAACGACACCGACCACTACGCCGACCACGACGCCAACAACAACCCCGACGACCACACCAACCACCACTCCCACTACCACCCCGACGACCACACCAACTACAACCCCGACGACCACACCAACTACAACCCCGACGACCACACCAACTACAACCCCGACGACCACACCAACTACAACTCCGACGACCACACCAACCACCACCCCGACAACAACTCCCACCACCACTCCAACAACCACACCCACTACCACACCCACCACCACACCAACCACCACACCCACTACTACTCCGACGACCACACCAACCACCACCCCGACAACAACTCCCACCACCACTCCAACAACCACACCCACTACCACACCAACCGCTGCCACACCAACACGTGCACAGCAGCCAATCACGAGCACGGCAGGGCCTGCGGTGCACGTGTCGACCCGATCGCCCAGCTCTCGCCGGCCAACAGCCGGTGGTCCGGGCGGAGACGACGACGACACTGGTGATCTGTCACTGCTGTGGCTGCTGCTTCTACTCATCCCCTGTTGTATCCTGCTAGCAGCCATTATCATCTGGGCAATTTACAAGTACCACTACCGCTTCACCGGGAAGTATGTCATCGGTCAAGCATTATAGGTGAACCGACCGTCGAAGCAAGCAGGATTATTCCAAAGTGTCTGCTGGAACCCCGGCACAATGCTCATGTGTGACATGTGCTATGTGGCGCCTATCTGCCGTTGGGAATGAAACCGACGTCTGTGGTATTTCTGACTGTACGTGCTGGGGATAGAGCGACTTGAGACCAAACCGATTTAAAACGTGCGTGATTTCTTATTTTCTTGTTGTCCGTCGTGATGCGCAAGAAGCGGCAGTATATGTACATGGAGACCATTATTAAATTTTGTTTAGGCGTTCATTGCTCACTGCTGCAAAGCCGTGCTGAGTGGATTGGGCCCGTTCTTTCAGTGGCTCATGTCGTGCCGTGCCCACGGTGGCAGGCCTACCTCGTGCCTGTTCCTCTGATGGTTCCGGTCGGCAGAATCCGCTGTATGCTCCTGTCCTGGCGCTCGATTGGGGCAAATGTGTAGATCTGAGCGTGCTCATGGAACGCACAGACATGCCAGATCCTGTACTCCTGGCTATACAGTTGTCGGTGTCATCTTCCTTACATACTTTAATTTCCTTTATAGCGGGCTGGTTTCCCTCTAAACAATCATGTGTGCAGTGTGAACTTTACTTTTTTCGAACTTTCTATCCTATTAGCCTCGTACTATGGAGTAGGCCGAAACATTGCCGTTTCGTTTGCTGCCGAAGAATATAGAACATGTCAGAAACACACCGATCCACGGTGTTTATACTCTTGATGGTATATTTCGGGTCCTTCGCTTTTTTAAAGACCTTCATTCCTTTTAGGCTCTTACTGTGACTCTATTTTGGTCGACCCATGGCAAACTGATGCAGAAATGTTTTTAAATAATTTTTCACCATGTACCGAGAGAGAGAGAGAAATGCCAGGACCTATGGGTGCGTCGTGCATTGGGTGTATTGCACCCTCTTTGCTTCGCCTCCACATCGTCATCGACTATTATTTCCGTGTCCATTCCACCCATACTACTTTTGTAGATAGTATTTCGACGGTGCTGAGGGTCGTGCGGAAGTCATGAGCGGGAAGAAAAGGCTGCACTCTGTCTATGGTCTCCTGCCACTCACACCATCACTACACTAACAATCCCTACGGTGCCATGCGTACATTCAAACCAGGGAGTCGTAAAATACCGGTATTTTACGACTCCCTGATTCAAACCAGTTGACTAGCTGACACCCACGACGTAGAGGGGTTAGTGCTCGCTTGCATGGATACCTCACTCCTGATGACGGTCCGAAACTCGTGACTGTGGTAGGGCGATAGAATGCCACCCTCCCCGGCTGTTGGTGTGTTGTTAGACCCATAGCTTCACGCATTTGATCGTAAAGCCTCTTCTATACGGGCCAACAGCACACACGCAATTTGCCATAGTGAGGACCCAACTCAAATACTGAAAATTTGATGCGCTCCAGGAGTGATATACATTTTATTTTGACACTCGTGCAGTCCCAGAGTGACAACTGTCAGATTGCACACATACACATTTGCATCACGCAATGCCCGCTACTTTTTGTAGTTCGAGCACTCTGGCGCTAGAGCGACGAGCTTTATGGCCGAAACAGCTTGCTGTCTACAGCATCATTGGGCACCTACACATTAAAATTTCACCAGTTGTAGTCTTCGGGGTGCTGAGTCGAATGGTCGTGGTCCGAGGAAGCTGAGACGCTCCCTTCCTACTTGAATCCCAATCGAACTCGCGCACTTCCACCGAAACTGGGTGACTGCGCCCTACTAGATGGGGATTTGTATGCAAAATGTCACTAAAAGCGCCATTTCGTTCTTATAAAAGCACGGATGACCGCGATTGGCCCATATGTTGTAGTCTTTTGGACGCTGAGTCGACTGGTTTTGGTCCGAAAAGGCTGCGATGCAGCGTTCCTCCTTTATTCCCAATCGAACATGGTTGAACAAGCGGTCACGTGCTCCTGCGTACGCCAGTCACCTGGTCACCGTGCCTGCAGGGTACAACTTACTAGCCTGTTTGACCTTTTTTGGGTGCAGTCCTGTCACTCGAGTTGAACTCGAGTTGAACCTTGGTGTGAAAGTTGTCGCCAGGGAGTCGTAAAATACCGGTATTTTACGACTCCCTGGTTGTCGCCTGCTGGCGTGGTGACCAGGTGATTTGGGCACCCAGGAGCACGTGACCGCTTGTTCAAGCATGTTCGATTGGAAATAAAGGAGGAACGCTGCATCGCAGCCTTTTCGGACCAAAACCAGTCGACTCAGCGTCCAAAAGACTACAACGTATGGGCCAATCGCGGTCATCCGTGCTTTTATAAGAACGAAATGGCGCTTTTAGTGACATTTTGCATACAAATCCCCATCTAGTAGGGCGCAGTCACCCAGTTTCGGTGGAAGTGCGCAAGTTCGATTGGGATTCAAGTAGGAAGGGAGCGTCTCAGCTTTCTCGGACCAAGACCATTCGACTCAGCACCCCGAAGACTACAACTGGTGAAATTTTAATTTTTGCCTTATTAACTTCCCCTTTAAGAAATTTGATGTGAAGGAAGGAATGAGTCCATGCATGATTAGATTACAGTGGGCATAGGTTAGATTAGGTTTAATCTTGTCACTGTCAGCAAGGGGGGGGGGGGGGTGGTGGTGGTGAACTATCGCCTGTAGCTACTGCCAGTACATACTATGTCTGCTAGACTGATTTTATATGATTCTGGACTACATTTGAATCATTATTATCTTCCTTATTGGCCATGGGCCATCATGGAAATAAAGAATAATGTACATGTCTCATTTATAAAGACTGATCATGATTCCAGATCTTACTGAATGGCCTAACATAAATCAAACAAAATTTAATCAAGATCTTGCTGAGTGGACGGATGACTAGGAATCAAGTATGATTGATAGCTAAGTAGGACATGCCTTTCGCCATCCACATGTGCACACGTGCTCCAAAGGCTCCAAAGAAGAGAGCTTCATGCAATGAAGACTCGTGACACTATCTGTCCGGTCGAATTTAGTTTACCCTGCAGCATGTAACCATGACCACACTAAGTATTGTTGCCACGGCCACATTCATTGCCATGACTACACTCGTTACCACGGCCACGCTTGTCGTCATGACCATACTCGTTGCCATGACACCACTATGCACCAGTAGTCGTCGTGGTCTCTAGTAGTACTGTGGCCTGGGGCGGGCTGTACGAACTCCGAGTAGTAGCAGCAGCCCGAGCGTTATCGACCGGGACGGCGGGAGTTGCCAGAGTATGTCTCAACGATCACGTGCATGAGCGTGTGTGACCTGAGAGAATCGCGCCGACAGCATGTTGTGAGAATAGGCTCTCTCACCATGATGCTGCTCGAGTTTCTCTTCTTCTTTTTCCGGTGTCTGCGTGGCATTATGTTCGTGCTAGCTAGGCTGGCTTGTGACATGCTGAGGAGCAGCCGTAGCAGGAGCAGCAGGAGGGTGGTCAATGCTGTTGCTGTTGCTGTCGGTTGGTTACGTAGTAGCGTGGGGACAGTACCGAAATCTCACACTGGGCCGTGTAACGGATATGCTGGGTAAATCGATTGCACGTTGTCGTGAAGATAGGTCGGCCAGCTTCTACACTAAAAAAAAAACACGACGCAGACGCTACAGTGTGCTGAGGATGGACAGCTTCTTGCTACACTTCCGACTGACGGTCTAACCGAACCGTTGCATTCATTGCACAGTACGTGATACAGGGTGGCGAGGATTCACGCATTTGTGGTGTGAAGTCTGCTGCCGTCGTCACGTCATCACTTGTCATCCACGCTGGCAATGGTAGCGATGCGTGACAACAGCATACCCAGATGATGTAGCTGAACCTGGTACGGTGGTTACGCAGTAACCAGACAGACAGAGAGACAGACAGACAGACAGACAGACAGACAGACAGACAGACACACAGACACACACACAGTTAGAGAAAAGCCATTGTTGGTGCACAGACAGACAGACAGACAGACAGACACCCAGACAGACACACGATGGTATACAAAATGATACCCAAATCCTATACAGTATAAGGCCTTCTCCATGTCCATCCCCCCCCCCCCCCCAAACCCCCAAAAACCCAAAACAAACAAAAACAAATGTAAAGAACTCTTCCTCTCCTCCATGCGCTCTCACAGCCGACTCACTGCTACCCTCGGTAGCCATTACACACACCAACCAAGGAAGGGTTGCAGGTAGATACTGAAATTCCTCCTGACAGCTGATGAGCCTTATGAAGGCGAAACAGCTGTCAGGAGGAATTTCAGTATCTACCTGCAACACTTCCTTGGTTGGTGTGCGAATAGTACCGTTCACCATTTGAAACAAAAACAAAACAACAAAAACCCAAATGTGTGAAAAGCACATGTAGGAACCCCTCCATACCTGCCTCTCTTCAGCAGAGCTATGACGATATCCAGCTACAGCAGAGAACAGTGGGCAACAGAGTACACGCGTGTCCACAGACACATGCAGCACACATGTTTGTAAAAAATAAAAAAATAAACACATGCAAACACACACAGGCACGCACACGTACACATACACACACACCCACACACACACACACACGCACACGCACACGCACACGTACACATACACACGCCCACACACACACACACACACACACACACACACACACGCACACACTGAGACTGAGACTGAGATTGAGACTGAGACATGCCCATCTCGGAAGCGATGATAACGAACAGCTATGCTAGACATAACAACTTGTGCTGGGATTACACCATTCAACAGCTTACAAGGCGGATGAATTGACCGCCACTAATTTTAGCCTGGTCTACACTACACCGCTAGAAAAAGCCACTTCAATCAGCTGGTGTAGACACAAACACACATACACAAACACACACACACACACAAACACACACACACACACACACACACACAAACACACACACACACACACAAACACGCGCACAAACACACATGCACACACACACACACACACACACACACACACACACACACACACACATGCACACACACCACACACACGCACGCACACACACACACGCACGCACACACACACACACACACACACACACACACACACACACACACACACACACACACACACACACACACACACACACACACACACACACACACACACACACTGGATCAGCCAGCTGATCAGAAAGAAGACTGATATAAGCTGTTCAATAACAAGAACAGGTTGAGAAACAACAACAGACTCACGCAACGGCAGTGTGTGTGTGTGGGGGGGGGGGGGGGGGGGAGGCTCAGAAGCATGCAAAGCTCCACGAAAATTGCAAAGATCCCATTAAACCCCACCAAAATATACTGTCGACCTTGCGAATAATGACCCTCGATTGCACATGAGCGAAATTGTCGGTATTTTCGAGTTGTTGTTATTCGTAAGGTTGAAAGTATGAAGTCAAATGGTCACTGGGTCTCAAGATTGTCTCGTCCCTAGCAAGTTGTATTTATACTCTGCAGTGAAGGCCGCTATTCAGGAGGTTGACAGTAGCTGAAACCTACAGAAGTAAGCATACAGTCAACTTTGCATATAACGACACTCGGTGGGGCATCGGAAAAAGTGTCCTTATTCGGGAAGTGTACTTACAACCGAAGTCTCATTACAGTCAGACCTCGCTTATCCGGTCCTCGTTTATCCGGATCCCTCGCCATCCGGAAGAAAATCGCTGGTTACCGATGTGCAGCATATGTTATGCATACAACATAACCGGACCTCGTGATCCGCATACCGGTGCATGATTTCGTGTACAAACTGGTTAAAATGTGTACAAAAAGCTTCGTCGTATCCGGTTGCATGTGGCTCGCAGAAGCTAGAATCAGGGAGTTGTACAAGCAAAATGAGGTCCTTGACCTGCTGGGTGCATGCAGACAGCACTCAGTTGCATGCACTTGTCTTTTTTCTCGCTTGTTTTACATACTGTGCACGCTGGTTGTACTGCGTAGGACCCGTCCAGTCAACATGTACATGTATGTACGATGTCACTGCTTTTGACATGCCACATGCATACAGTATGTGTGTTCAGTTATCCGGTTCCCTTGCCTATCCGGATATTTTTGTGGAAAACAGATGTGTGCGGTTAAGCGAGGTCTGACTGTATATGTATTACAGTTACACATCTTTCTCCTCTTATTACCGGTATCACGCTGATTTTGTCATCCCTTTTCCTCGCGCTATTGAAATGTACCTCCATCACCTCTGCCTTCTCTCCGTATATATTCTACAGTCCGTTTCAAAAAGATTTACAATCCTGGCGATCGCCCGCGGAGTTTGGCGTCTTACCGTATGAGCACTCAAGCGCTGCCTGGAAAAACTCACCGTGAACTCGAAGAAATATTCCGCGCGAAAGCAGGTTTAGGGTTTTACGTCGGGCCCTAGACGACGGCTACTTTGGCCAACCGGACAACGAAGAAGTTGTGACCAAAGAGAATGATTTTATTTCTTGCGCATGCGTATGTAGAATGACGTAATACTCAGTGAGTCAGGTCGCTACACAGGAAAAATGACAACTCACTCACGTTGACACAGTCATGTACGTCTGGTTTACAACAAACGAGTTCTTCCTCGTATCGATAATGGAGTCAGAGAGGACATGTCGAAACGAAAGTGTTGTAAATGTTGACGAGCTGCATGGGTCCGTTTTGTGACCAAAATAGTTTCTTTGAGCTGCGATGCAATTTACTCACCGTGTGACGAAAACGACATCGACACGGACTCATTCCCAAGGCCATGACTTGGCAAAGCTATCCGTGTGACTTCGACGACATTTTGAGAAAAGCAGACGCTTGTGAACGCTGATAGAAGACGGCGTTGACTGCTAAATTCAAATAAATTGGCGATCTTGAAATACTAAAATAAATCTCAAAAAGCTCCAGCGCGATGACTTCCATTATAATTCACTCACACCATTGCAGTGTTGTGGGTGTTCACATGGCGTGAGCCAGTCAAATGTCAGTCAGTTCGGCAGGAAGCGCGAGCTCCAACAACAAGTCGTTTGGTGCAGCCATCTTCTTTGTCTTGTACCAGCTTGATCACCAAAACAATGAAAAAAAAGGTTTGACTTGAGGATAGGTTGGGATTTGAACTCACAACTTCATGGTCAGCAGACAGCATTCATAACCACAAGGCCAAAAAGGAAAGGATAAATCGTGGGTTTTGATAAAAAAATCGATACAGGCTTCCTGGGCAAATTGTAAACCATGGGAAAAGGCCGGAAACCTGGCCGAAATTCTAACTCCTTAACGGTTGGTCCTATTGTTCCGAAACCTTCACAGGACAATTTGCCGTGTTCTAACAAGCCATTCTATGTACTTTGTTGTCCAAATTTCCCTTATCTTCATACTTTTTAAGACCCAAACCTGATTGTAAATCTTTTTGAAACAGACTATAGTGATTGTTAGTCTTGGTCATATGCTGTCTGATGACGTGTTTTCACACGAAACTCGGAGTAACAGCGGAAAGAGACTTGTTTGAATCATTGCTGTGTAATATTTGTACCACAGTTACAGGTGGATGGGACTTTGCTCTGGGCATGGAAATTCTGTCGTTATTCGCGAATTGTCGTTTTATCCGCAGTCGTAACTAGCCAGGCTGACTGTACATACCTTTGGTCTGAACGCGATCCAGCTCAGCCCTGGCCTGCGCCTCCAGTGAACTGAAGTGTGCTCTCATGGCATCAACGTAGGTCAGCTTCATGCTCTGCCAATCCAGAAAGAAGTCGGCATCACCACGTTGCTGTTGAGCACGGAGAGCATGACCATACAGACATTTTATTCAGGCAAAAAGGTCCATCAAAACCTGGTCTTAAGTTTCAAAACTTAACCTATCGGCCTACACATGGGCAGTTCCAAACAAGAAACCGACCAATTCAGGGTGAACACCTCATATTTTGGCCAGAAATGGATTTCGGACAAGAAAGATCCATACAATGGTGAATGATAATTTTGTCCTGAAAAATGTGAAAATGCAGTTTGAAGTACTTTGTTACGGAATGATTCCTAGAGGCTTGAAAGTTGAAACATGGCCAACATCTTACTCTCTGTGATGGTCCAATGTTCAGAGAAATGGGTTTCAAAACAAACTAGACGGCCACATGTAAAGCAGATAGAACATCCTTACCACAGACACCAAGCGCAGGAAGAAAACCAGGTTCAGGGAGGACATATATCTGCAGCAAAACGAACCGCGAAAGAGAGACCAGTTCGAGTTCCACTGCAACTACAGCTGTACTGTGTGCACGCTGCCATGGTTTTGCATACTTGCACACAAGAAGACTTATTAATTTATTTATTGCAATACCTCGAGGCGCAGTGGGAACACCGGCCAATGTGGAGAGAGTGGGTGATAGCCAACCATGCTGATAAAGATAAGTAGGGGTTGTGAGAGAAATAAGAAAAGTAGCAAAAGGGACAAAAAAGAGAAGAGCATCCACGTGTGACAAGCAACAGTTGCCGGGTTTTGATTTCAAACTTCATGCCACACACACAACGTACACTCGACACAAACGCGACTGGCTGAAACTCATTGAGCACGGGAGACGGACGTGAAGGGTCGCACTGTGTTGGGGCAAAAGCCAGATTGCCGGATCTCGTTACACGAATGAGTGCCAGCAGCCGGCATTCTGCCATAGGGCAGTTCATATGCACTGTCCAGGCAAAAAAGCTGTGGCAGAAATCGATTGCCGGGACACAGCCTGGTCAGACCTACAAGTTGGGAATGGGAGTGGTGGAGTTACCTAAAAGTATACAGTAGGTATCGGTTATAGCGTGGGTGTTAGAAAAACGACTTTCTATTCTTATTTCCGATATTTCTTACACACGATAAATATAGTGTGACGTATCATATGCATGTGCGCATAGACAGGAAGATCATCATACATGCAACGTAGTGCTACTGTTTATGCCGTTGATCATACTTGCTAAGTAGTCCCATACTGGGCCATAGCCTGCATAGGTTCACCATGTGGCTGAGCAATATGAGTTACATGACCACAACAGATGCACTTGCAGCATTATGATGCAATTCGAGTCGGTTCAGAACTGTATCGGGCAGATGTTATTACTACAGGCGACACACTTTGTACTAATCTGGCATGTTTCGCTACACAAAGTCCATTCTTAGGACCGATATATTCTATTACACGATAACATTGCTTGTAAGAATAAATATACACATGAAACCCATGTTATGATTAGGCCACTCGCTTTTATTTCTATGTTTCTCGTCACCTGAAAATCTAAAAACGAATGCGAGAGGTGGAAAAAAATAAAAAATGACCGAAAAATAAAAAAAGTTTATTAGACCTTTGTTCACACTAAAATCCACCAATACACCATGCAAAATAGCATCCATAGTTAGCAACTAGTATGTGGTAGGAGCTTCTGTCACAAATCTGTGCATGTGCAGCTAGATTGCGCACAAAAAATGCCGTCCTTGCATCATGTGTCGCGCAGGCCAGGCCACATTATGTACATGTGCATGAGTGTGCTGGTCCCCACATGCACAGTCAGTGCAGCACAGTTTTTTTCTTTTTTTCTTCCAGACTCCTGAATTGTATGCGCGCGGGTGACGAGAAACATAAAAAATAAAAACGTGTGGCCTTATGAAAACATGAGAGTTCATTCTTGTAAGCAGTATATTCTTTTACACGACCACACTATAACCGATACGCACTGTATTCCTTTCAATTCTGAAGTAAGGAGCCGTCGGTAAAAATCGAAATTTTATCACGAAACGAATTGATTTCGTTTCAACCCAACCCCTGCCTCCGTCCCATGTTGACGAGCATAATATTAATATACATGTGCAAGAAACGCTACCAGCTGCACAGAGTGTGGCGTCAAGTACTGACCTGTCGTAGTTGATCATCCAATGTTCTGTATCAAACGGCAGAGTGGTTACCAGTACTATGCACTCCTTCCAGGCCGCGCTGTGACGCACTTGATCAATGTGAGCCTGTAGAGTAAGTGAGAGAGAGAGAGAGAGAGAGAGAGAGAGAGAGAGAGAGAGAGAGAGAGAGAGAGAGAGAGAGAGAGAGAGAGAGAGAGAGAGAGAGAGAGAGTAGAGAGAGAGAGTAGAGAGGTTCTGTAAACGAAAATTCGAACGAAGTTTCGTGATGGGCCTTGCGAAAATGTGTACGAATTTCGCACGAACTTTGTGTTCTGCACATTCGTAGTTTGCAAGCAGCAAGTGCACGTACGCCATAACCCGATCTCACGAAACTTCCCACGAAATTTCATTTCGCGTTCCCTGCAAGTTTCGGGTCCAAAGTTGCGAAAGTTCGTGCGAAGCTTCTCACTTTGTGATGTAGAGCGAAAGTTCGTACACATTTTCGTTTTTCAGAACCTCTCTACTGTGCGTGTATGTGTATGTGTGTGTGTGTGTGTGTGTGTGTTTGTGTGTGTGTGTTTGTGTGTGCGCGCATGTGTACAGGGCGAAAACAGGCAATACACCGCACACGGGCCCACGACCACAGTTGTACACTTTTCGATCATGGACTCTGGGTCACACCTAAAACAGACTCTGCAGCTTTCATACGTGGGCTTTTCATGGGCTTTCTTCCTACGGATGTGGAGAATTCGGTTTAACCGAGTCTACACAAATCGGGACATTTTCTACGGGGAATCCCCTTAATTGCATCATAAGACTGTGAGCACAATAGCAACTATTGGGGAATCCCCTGGATTACATCATAGACTGTGAGTACAGTGGAACATCTCTTATCCGGGCACTTGGGCTTTCACCGCATGCCTAGTATCACTTCAGGAAGGATCATTTCACGGCATACCTTATCACTGAGTATGGCCGACATAGCATCCACAACGCTGCCGATAACACAACCAGCAATGAACGGCACACACGTCGCGGTGTCTTTCAGTATAGCACTGTTTTAGAGCACAAACAACAAGACAAAGAACAGTCAAGGCGGAGATGTTCACACGTCAGAGCAACAGAAGCAAGAGAAAAGAAGCCTAAGCCTAGATCGAGGGAGTCCCCGTTGATCCTATTCCACGCCACACGTCAATCCAACACACGCTCCCACATTGAACCCTGCCTGCTCTTGCTGGTGTCGGTGTCAGTGTTGTTACAGCCAAAACTGACGCACTGCAAATCAACAAATATTCGGCGCATATTTATTTTCGGCTATTTTCGGCCCTATCATATTTGGCCGAAAATTTTGTTTTGCAAGGTTCAGTGTGACAGTGTACACAGGCGGCAGCAGTACAGGCCAAAAATTTGATGCGGCCGAAATGGGTTTTAGCCCTGGGAGGCCGAAAATTCGAACGGGCCGAAAATTTGTAAACTTTTGTAAACTTTTTGTAAACTTACAGTACCCAAAGGCAACAAAGACCAAAAATTCTTCTCGTAAGGCGAGACCAAAATAAAATCGAGATTCCCGGGCAGGACCCATGTGAAATTGGTGCGGGCGGGCGAATTTTTATTTTTTATTTTTTTCCTATGACTGTGTGTATGCGCATATATATGCGCATGCCATGCCGAGCTTTTTTTACAGTATTTTCCAGTAATTTTTAGTTTTTTTTATTCAAATTTCACAAAAAAACAGGCACGCGGTTTACCCGTTCAATTGTTCTGTATTTCGGCCAACGATGGTCCTGACATGATCTGTACATCAGGGAGTCGTACAAGCTCGGGTTTGTCATTCCACGTCACAGATCTACCCGGTACTCACACGATTAGTACTGTCAAGAGTACATAAAGGGTTTATATATACAGAAGCCTTGCTTGGTAGTTTAACATGTTTTTCGATTTTGACAGCATGTTACAAGGCGAGGACGCGTAGTGCTCCTGACTCGACAACCATAACCCGGTTGGCAGAGTCCCGGTCTTGCGACCATCTGAACCGTATTGGGAAAACCCAGGTTCGGACCCTCGTTACTCTACGGGTTGGTAGGATTTTTATAATTTTCGTTTTTTTGTGTTGTAGAAGTCGTCGTGTTGCCGCCGTAGTATTGTTCACGTTGCTGCCGCTGCAGGGATCACGTCTGGAAAGGATTTGTGATGTTATTTTCTTGTCTTCCTCTGTAATTAAATTATTTGTAATTTATATTTCTTTTTTCTTTTGTTCTTTTGTTCTTTTTCTTTTTTCTTGTCTTTTTTCAACTTCTGCCCATGGCGTCCTTCTCTCAGCTCGTCAGCTGTAACAGTCATAGTCATCACCATGGCGACTGTTGTGAGAAGGTGCTCGCTGCCGACGAGGTTGGTGATGTCCCGACGAGGCTATGGGTAGGCCTTCACCACGTCGGAACACCCCGTCTGCACGTTGGTGTTGTGGTCTGGGTGTTGATGGACGTTGATGTTGTTGTAATAGTTGTTGTTGTTTGAATTCTTTATTCTCACGATGGAGATAAATTGATGAGAAGGTGAGATTGTGGGTTAAACAGGTGGAAAGTGATTTACATCACTTTGAACTTTACAAGTATGGGAGAGGGTGAGCGCTGCAGGAGCAGATTGAGTTATTTAGCAGTGAGCAGATTTCTTGTTTGAAAGCAGGTCGGGAGGAGACGTCACGAATGCTAGCAGGGAGGGCATTGTAGTATTCTAGGGACTTGTACAGTGGGGAGTCTTTACAGCGATCGGTTCTGGAGGGTGGGAGGTGCCAAGTGCGTGCGTGTCGAAGGCTGTACTGGGCCGTAACTTGAGCGGGGGTGTTGAGCAAGCGTATGTGTTGTGGGGCATATTGGTATTTTATGGAGTGAGCAAGAAGGGTGAGCTTCACTTTGCGGCGAGAGAACATTGTCGGCCATTTGAGCCGGTGGAGCAGTGTTGAATGATCCAGAGGAGTGTAAAGGGGGAGACGGAGGCAGATTCTGGCCGCCTTGCGCTGGATTCGCTCAAGACGGTCAAGGGCTGCGATTGAGAGCGGGGTGACAGCAATGCATGCATATGCAATTATAGGCAGGATATACGTTTTGTAAATGAGAGAGAGTGATTTAGTGTGTAGAGTTGATTTGAGCCTAAAGAGAATATTAAAAGATTTTACGGCTTTCTTCAGCACAAAGTCAAGGTGGGCTGACCATCTTAGGTCGTGCTGAAAGATGATGCCGAGGTGACGATGTTGTGTTACTGTTTCTAACAGGGTTTGGCCAAGTTTTATTTCGGGTAGTCGTGGTGGGGGTCGGTTAGCATGGTAGAACGGGAGGATGACGGTTTTCGTTTTATTGACTAGCAGGTGCCAGCGCTCTAGCCATTCTGCTGCGGCATCGACGCTTCTTTGTAGCGCAGCCTCACACTCAATGTAGCTGCCTGCAATGGCAATTAGTGCGGTGTCGTCCGCGAACTGGCTACACGAGGTTGTAGCATTTTCACAGGCAGTGGGCAGGTCAATGGTGTACGCCAGGAACAAAAGTGGGCCCAGGACCGAGCCCTGGGGCACTCCTGCTGGTATTGGTATGAAGGCGGATGTTGTGCCTTCAACCTGCACCCGCTGTCTGCGTCCTGTCAAGTAGGCTTCGAGCCAATTGTGAGCCTTGCCGTCGACACCATAGTGGCTCAGCTTTTTCAGCAAGCCTTGATGCCATACACGATCAAAGGCTTTACTGAGATCGAAGAAACACGTTACAACATGCTTCCCCGCATCCCTAGCTGTGGATATCTGGTGGACGATCCGTGCGAGTTGCAGTTCGGTCCCGTCTTGTTTCCTGAAGCCGGATTGGTTGGAGGGTAAGTGCGGTGCTATGTGATTGTACAGACGAGAGTGGACTATTTTTTCTTGTGTTTTTGATATTATACTGAGCAGGGAGATGGGTCGGTAGTTGGTAGGATGGGAGGGGTTGCCCGACTTGGGGATGGGTGTAATAGTTGCGTCTTTCCAATCCTGTGGTATTTCTCCGGTTCTGAAGGACAGATTGTAGAGACTAGTGAGAGATGGGGAGATTTCCTTTGCAGTTTCTTTCAGGAGCCGAGTTGGGATGTTGTCAAAGCCTGGGCTCTTGCCAGTGTCTAGACTGCATAGAAGCTTCTCGACCTCTTCCACTGTTGCTGCGATTGTATTTAGAGTATGACTGCAGGGCCGTAGCAGGCGGTCCGGCAGGTCCGGCAGCTGCCGGACCAATATTCAGCCAAAAAAAAAAAAAAAAAAAAGCAGGAGCTCACACATGTGAGAAGCTCAGGATGTCCACCCATGATGTGGGAAATACAGTCAACTTTGCGAATAACGACATTCGGCGGGGCATCAGAAAAGTGTCCTTATTCGCGAAGTGTCCTTATATCCGAAGTCCCATTTGAATGTTTGTGAACCCATATTATGTATAGTATGACATGCATATCGAAATGAAGCTCTTTTCATGCTCTACGTCAATTTGTACTTTATTTTCGTATTGCAATTGAAAGGAACAATAAAGTCAATATACAAGGGAAATAAATTGAAAAATTAACCTTTTGGAGCCATCTACAGGGACATGTTCATGTACATGTATGAAGATTAATGTGCAATCATGTACTGTGCAACTACATGTACATGTCCAATAGGTGTGCTGATCATTCCAACTATTTTGAAGAAAAGAAAAAAGAACCCCCCCCCCCCCCCTGGCTGTATCTTCTTGTATGTGTGCCTTATCCATCGCCACGGGTTCCTCTGGTGCTTCTGCATGACAGGTACTTGAAATAGCTGTCAAAAAGCCAGAAAGTCGTTATTCAAGCAGTGAATATGACCTCGGGGCACTAAAATCATGTCGCTATTCGCGAATTGTCGTTATTCAGATAGTCGTTATATCCGAAGTTAAATGTATACAGTCAGATGGGACTTTGCTCTGGGCATGGAAATTCTGTCGTTATTCGCGAATTGTCGTTATATCCGAAGTCGTTATTAGCGAAGTTGACTGTACGTAGAGCCGTAGTGAGGTATATACCGGTAAGTACAGGTAGTACATGGTAATAGCAAGAGTATTATAACCATTGGTAATAGCCAATACCATGTCATGTACATACATGTAGAACTACGTGTCCTGTACTGTATGACCTCCTGCCATTCCTCCATTGCAATGTACTTTCTCCTCCCCCAAAGGTCCATTTTGGCTCTTTTATCACATGCATTTAGATACTGTTGCTATGCCTTCAAAGGCTTCAAGAATTTCTGTTTGGAGAGACACAACATGCTGATGCCCTTTTCCTGACTCACGCAGAACATCCTTCTTCCTTTTCTCGCCCTACGTCACTCGAAGGCTTGCGTGTGTGTTTCTGAACATTCAAGTGATGCTAACGCGGATCCCGCGAATATTATTATTATAGTTACTCTGCATGGTCACAATTACATGTACATACACGTACAATCATGTACACTTTGGGCTCGGGGGGGGGGGGGGGGAGCTTCGAGGTCGGATCCTGCCGGGCCAACCAAAATGGGGCTGCTACGGGCCTGGACTGATGTCAGGGGTAGTGTTGATGTCTGGTGTAGTACAGGTGGTCTTGTCGATGGACTGTTGGCTTTGGGAGATAAAGAACTTGTTGAGAGCTGTTGCCTTCTCCATAGCCGTGGCTGCAGTGCAGTTGGCTGTCGATAGTGTGGGAATTGTTTGCTTCGGCGGTTTTTTCAGGTGCTTCAGTAGACGGTGGAGGTTTGTACCCGTTGACGTTGTTTGCTGGACAAAGTCGGACTTAGCCTGTCGCAAAAGAGCGGTTACTCGGTTACGCTGGGTGTTGTAATTGTCGTTGATTGTTGTTTCAAATCTTTATTCTCACGATAGCCAGTGGCCAATAAGAGATAATAGTGTAAGAAAGGAGAAAGAGTGAGGAAGAATTGGGTGGGCAAGGCCTAGGGGTTAATGACTACTTACGTGTACGGGCAGGGGTGGTCGCCACACGAGCATACAGAGTTGCGTACTTAAGTGTACGGGCAGGGGTGGTCGCTACACGAGCATACAGAGTTGTGCAACAGCAGGGATATCTCGGATTTGAAGGGAGTACGTGAAGGGATTTCGCGAAGCTGAGTGGGCAGGCAATTAAAGTAATGAAGGGCCTTGTACAGGGGAGAATGGAGACAGCGGTCAGTCCGCGGAGTTGGCAAGTGCCAAGTACGAGAGCGACGTAAATTATACGAAGGTTGCACGTTGCTAGCAGTATGCAGCAAGAGTATACGTGGTGGGGCATAATTGTGGCGCAGAGAATGCGCGAAGAGTATATGTTTAACTTTAAAGCGTGAAAATAATGTTGGCCATTTGATGCGATGCAAAAGGTGGGAGTGTTCTAAGTGTGTGTAAAGGGGAAGGTGGAGACATATTCTGGCGGCTTTCCGCTGGAGTCGTTCTAGCCTGTCAAGGGAAGTGTGGGACAACGGTGTGAGAGCATTGCTCGCATATGAGAATATAGGTAGTATGTATGTCTGATAGATGTGAGATAAAGAATCACTGGTGAGTGTAGACCTTAGTCTAAAAAGAATATTGAAAGACTTGAGTGATTTTTTGACTACGTATTCAACATGCTCCGTCCAACGGAGGTCATGCTGAAAGATTATTCCGAGGTGTTTGTGTTTTTGTGCTACGGTAAGCGGACTATTCCTGAGGGTGATCTGGGGTAGCTGTTCAGGGGGGCGGTTATTGTGGTAGAACGGGAGGATGACTGTTTTCTTTGTGTTAACCAGCAGGTGCCATCTTTGAAGCCAGTTTCCAGCTGCTGTGACACTCTGTTGAAGGTTTCGGGTGCAGTCTTGAAGAGTTCTCGCTATGGAAATCAGAGCGGTGTCATCTGCAAACTGGCTACAGGTGGTGCTGGGATTCTCACATGCGTGTGGAAGGTCTATGGTGTAGACGAGGAATAGAAGCGGCCCAAGAACAGATCCCTGAGGGACGCCGGCAGGGATCTCGAGGAAAGGCGATAGGTCGCCATCCACCTGGACCCTTTGCCGACGCCCCAACAGGTACCGTCGGAACCACTCCAGGGCGGTGCCCTGGACACCATAGTGGGAGAGTTTTGCTAGAAGGCCTGCATGCCACACACGATCGAAGGCCTTGCTTAGATCGAAAAAGCAGGCATTGACGTGTTTCCCGTCGTCTCTCGCAGTGGAGAGGGTATGGACGAGACGGGCGAGCTGCTGCTCAGTGCCGTCTTTCTCGCGGAATCCGGACTGCTGGTTGGGCAGGTGGGGTGTGATGTGCTTGTAGAGGAGTTGATGTGCAATTTTTTCTTGGATTTTTGATGTAGTGCTCAAGAGAGAGATGGGTATATAATTTGTTGGTTGGGTTGGGTCACCCGGCTTGGGTACTGGAGTAATGGTGGCATCTTTCCACTCCTGTGGGATTTCTCCGGTTTGGAACGATAGATTAAAGAGGGACGATAACGACGGTGCAAGTTCCTTCGCCGCTTCTTTGAGTAGGCGGTTTGGAATAGAGTTGTTGTTGTTGTTGTTGTTGTTGTTGTTGTTGTTGTTGTTGTTGTTGTTGTTGTTGTTGTTGTTGTTGTTGTTGTTGTTGTTGTTGTTGTTGTTGTTGTTGTTGTTGTTGTTGTTGTTGTTGTTGTTGTTCTCCTTAGTGTTGTTCTCGTTGTTGCTGTTGGTCTTGGTAATACTAATAGTCCTTGTTCACGGACCTCATGAATTCCACAAATAAAACAGAGTCATATTTCTTAAATCAGCTTCCGGGTAACTTTTCCTTCAATTACGAATGATTTGTGGAATGTTGCAATTGGTAACATGGAAACATAAGTTCAGTGCAGCGTCCAGGATGTTGTTCAGGTGAGGTACGCCGGTTTTCGGGGTCAAATGTCGGATGTCAGCATTGCTTACCTCGGCTGTTGCGCTGGACCGTCTTGGGTTCACTCGTAGTTAATTAATTGTGCATCCCCGGCCAGGGGGTTGGGCTCTCCGGTATTAATCCTTTGTTGAACGAGAAATCACGTTCTCCGTTTTCCTCGGATCGGAGATCATTTTCGATCTCCACCAAAAAAAAAAAAAAAAAAAAAAAAAAAAAATTAATCCACCACACACGGTTCACGTGGTAGATTCGTACTCGGACCTGAGCACCACAAACCCAGATCAACGGAGACCGCACACCATATCCAGAACAAGCGGTATGGACAACGCCCGGGTCAAATACTGACCCCAACGGCGGAGATGCAACGCACAATCGCGAAAGAAGCAAGTCCGCAAGTACGACTCACCATGTTCGGAACGACGAGGACGACAAACACTCCGGAGCACCACGCGTGCCAGCATCACCGCACGCAGATCTACGCGCGATCCCCGCGCGCGACCTACGACACCACGCAAGATCGACGTCTCCAGAACACAACTCGCGAAGACAACAAGAAGCCATCACGTCGTGTCCGACTACAATCCACATATCTTCCTCAGCCTACGTTCACCTTCGACGTCGACGACCATCTTACCAGCTCCTCGGACAACCTGGAAAGTCCAAAGTCAACACGTGTATCTCTCTCAGAGACCCGCCAGTGAGACTTCTCTTCTCCTTCGATACACCAATAACCGGCGTCCTGTCTGTGTGTTTTATAGCTCCGTCCACCTGACAGAAGACTCAGCCCACGCCACGAAGAACGTGATACAACACTAACCCCTTCATCAATAATTAATTATTAAACAATTTCTCGTTCAACAAAGGATTAATACCGGAGAGCCCAACCCCCTGGCCGGGGACGCACAATTAATTAACTACGAGTGAACCCAAGACGGTCCAGTGCAACAGCCGAGGTAAGCAATGCTGACATCCGACATTTGACCCCGAAAACCGGCGTACCTCACCTGAACAACATCCTGGACGCTGCACTGAACTTATGTTTCCATGTTACCAATTGCAACATTCCACAAATCATTCATAATTGAAGGAAAAGTTACCCTGAAGCTGATTTAAGAAATATGACTGTTTTATTTGTGGAATTCATGAGGTCCGTGAACAAGACTATTAGTATTACCAAGACCAACAGCAACAACGAGAACAACACTAAGGAGACCAACAACAACAACAACAACAACAACAACAACAACAACAACAACAACAACAACAACAACAACAACAACAACAACAACAACAACAACAACAACAACAACAACAACAACAACAACAACAACAACAACAACAACAACAACAACAACAACAACAACAATCAACGACAATTACAACAACAACAACTATTACAACAACATCAACGTCCATCAACACCCAGACCACAACACCAACGTGCAGACGGGGTGTTCCGACGTGGTGAAGGCCTACCCATGGCCTCGTCGGGACATCACCAACCTCGTCGGCAGCGAGCACCTTCTCACAACAGTCGTCATGGTGATGACTATGACTGTTACAGCTGACGAGCTGAGAGAAGGACGCCATGGGCAGAAGTTGAAAAAAGACAAGAAAAAAGAAAAAGAACAAAAGAACAAAAGAAAAAAGAAATATAAATTACAAATAATTTAA